ATCCCGTTATACCCACCTGTCTGCCAACCTGTTTCACTCTGCCATCCCGTTATACCCACCTGTCTGCCAACCTGTTTCACTCTGCCATCCCGTTATACCCACCTGTCTGCCAACCTGTTTCACTCTGCCATCCCGTTATACCCACCTGTCTGCCAACTTGTTTCACTCTGCCATCCCGTTATACCCACCTGTCTGCCGTTATGTTGCCTCCCAGCACCGCCACCAAAATCCTACTTTCCCAACTTTATAACCAAACTACAAGTGCATAAAGCAAACAAAAGTTCTCTCAACTTACAAAATTTCCCCTCGATCGCTACAACTTTTTTTTTTTTTTTAAGAATATCTCGAGAAAATCTTTTATATTAAATTAAGCTGGGTGTAGTTGTACCTTGTTTTGTTTTGTTTTTGAGAATTGTGTCTATTGTTTAATTATTTTTTTCGTAATTACCTATTACCAGTTAACTGTGTGAATTAATTTACATTTGTTGGTTTAATTTTCGCTTTTTTTTTTTTTTACATTTTCTAAACAAAGGTAAAGTAATGATGTTACTGAGAGGGAATTTATGCCTTTTATATAGACGATTTCGTTTTCTCTAAGTCTGTTTGTCTTTCTTTGTCTGTCTGTCTGTCTGCCTGTCTGTCTCTGTCTCTGTCTGCCTGTCTCTCTCTCTCTCTCTCTCTCTCTCTCTCTCTCTCTCTCTCTCTCTCTCTCTCTCTCTCTCTCTCTCTCTCTCTCTCTCTCTCTCTCTCTCTCTCCTCTCTCTTCTCTCTCTCTTCTTTCTCTCTTCTCTCTTCTTCTCTCTCTCTCTCTCTCTCTCTCCTTCTCTCTCTCTCTCTCTCCTCTCTCTCTCTCTCTCTCTCTCTCTCTCTCTCTCTCTCTCTCTCTGATACACACACACACACACACCAGAAAGTGAGAACACAATGCCACGTTTGACACTGGAGTACAGTTGAACACGTCGACCCAAACTGACACAGTATCATGTGTCATGAGTCAGTGTCATGTTCGTCACTGTCTGCGTGCTGTGCCACTCACTGTTTCTACAGCAGTCGAGAATTTCACTTCAGGAAGTATTCGACTCTACACCAGTCACTAAAACTACGTCAGCCTCTAACAGTGACATTCAAATCTATACAAGTGCGACTCGACACTCTTTACGTCCTCTTAACTCCTCTAAGTCACGAAAGAAAACAGTTTATATTCTTAAGTAATAACTAGTCTAGTGTTGACAGGAGGAGGAGGAGGAGCAGGGGAAAAGAATTGAAAATAGCGAGAACGAATTAGCGTTCAGATCTAAGCCCTCAGTAACTCTCTCCGTCAAGTAAATGGGTTAATCCCTCCCTCTCCCCCTTCTTCAGACACCCAGGGGAGTTGTGTTCAAGCCCCCCTGGGTTAATCCCTTCCCTCCTGCTCCTCCTCCTCCTTCAGTCACCCAGGACGGGGGAAGGAGGAGTCTTGCATGCAATTTCTCTCCTGTTCAAGATTTATCTACGACATTTATAAATCTGTGTTATAAATTCACAATACATTTTGTCGCAGTCCTGTTTTCTTTAAGGGTAAGATAAACTGGATTGGGAAATTCCACTTACAAATATACATACCGTATATATATATATATATATATATATATATATATATATATATATATATATATATATATATATATATATATATATATATATATATATATCCAAATACTAAGTTTTATCTTATGGCTGATTTATATTTTCCTTAGTTAAGGTTACAGTTTATTTTAAAAAATTTCTAAGTTCTCGGCAGGTTCCTCGTAGCTCACCTGACGAGCGTTTGTCTCACAAGCAAAAGTACCTGGTTAAACCCTGCCCATGTTTACCTTGCAGTAACTAGACATCCAAGAATCAGTTGAGTGTTGTGCGTCTCATCCAGGGAGAGGATCTAAGGGCCTTAACTCAAAATGGGTTATATTGAGTGGCTTTCTCGGCTTAGCCTGGGTTATTACTCCTAGTACAATACAGTAATTCCTGGTGAGAAACATAATTTTGAAGATTCAAGTATATATGTGTAATACACAAAAAAAAATTGTTTCTCCATATGTTATCGATTATTGATGCTTTATAATCCAACTGTCCCGTTGCTGGGTTGGTAGCGCACACAGATCCCACACTGAAGTCCGTGGTTCGATTCCCAGTGCGGATGGACACATTAGTAAGTGTTTCCTTAAGACACCTGGTGTCCCTGTTCACCTAGCATTACAATAGGTTCCTGGGTGTTAGTTGACTGATGTGGGTTGCATCCTGGGGATATAACAAGCGGCTTTCTATATAGTAGTACGTCATTGATGTCAGCCAGACTTGTACATGTACTTGTTGAAATGAAGGTTATTATTAACATTGTTATTATTATAACTCTCTCTCTCTCTCTCTCTCTCTCTCTCTCTCTCTCTCTCTCTCTCTCTCTCTCTCTCTCTCTCTCTCTCTCTCCCTGACTCTCACCCTCCGCCTCTCTCTGCTTCAGGTGAGGACGTACGGTACACCATCACAGGAGGTAACAAGGATGGCTTGTTCACCATCAACCAGAGCACCGGGGTCATCACACTGGCCGCTACCTTGGACTATGAGATTCATCATAAGGTAAGATATTTTTTTCACACCGTCTCAGCTTAGAGGCGATTATTTTATCAAGATTGTTTACACCAGGAGAATGAGGCTACTCTGTCTTAGGTGGGAGCACTAGCAGTGTGTGGTTACACTGTTTTACGTGGGAGTTACGTTGTGGGAGCGCCTGCAGTGTGTGGTTACACTGTTTTATGTGGGAGCTAGGTTGTGGCTATACTGTTGTGGAAGGGAATTACGTTCTTGAGTTTTAGTGAATCATGATTCTCTTACGAGCAAACTGTAGCTGATGGCTAGACCAGCCTGGTTGATCAGGCCAGGTACTGGGAGACCTGTTCTGGATAGACTCCAAGAAGACTCCAGGTAGACTCCAGGTAAACTGCAGGTAGACTCCAGGTAAACTGCATGTAGACTCCAGGTAAACTCCAGATAGAGTCCAAGAAGACTCCAGGTAGACTCCAGGTAAACTCCAGGTAGACTCCAGGTAAACTCCAGGTAGACTCCAGGTAAACTCCAGGTAGACTCCAGGTAAACTCCAAATAGAGTCCAGGAAGACTTAAGGTAGACTCCAGGCAGACTCCAGGTAGACTTCAGGTAAACCCCAGGTAGACTCCAGGTAAACTCCAGATAGAGTCCAAGAAGACTCCAGGTAGACTCCAGGTAGACTCCAAGAAGACTCCAGGTAGAGTCCAGGTAAACTCCAGGTAGACTCCAGGTAAACTCCAGATAGAGTCCAAGAAGACTCCAGGTAGACTCCAAGAAGACTCCAGGTAGACTCCAAGAAGACTCCAGGTAGACTCCAAGTAGACTCCAGGTAGACTCCAAGAAGACTCCAGGTAGACTCCAAGAAGACTCCAGGTAGACTCCAAGAAGACTCCAGGTAGACTTCAAGAAGACTTCAGGTAGACTCCAGGTTAAACCATACCCCCGGCCGGGATTGAACCCGCGGTCATAGAGTCTCAAAACTCCAGCCCGTCGCGTTAGCCACGTTAGCTGGAGTTTTGAGACTCTATGACCGCGGGTTCAATCCCGGCCGGGGGTATGGTTTATTTGCAATCGTGTCATTACGATTTCTTGAGTCATGTAGACTCCAAGTTGTTAGACCAGGTAGTTGTGTGTTGTCAACACGTCTTCCCATTAAAATCGTAGAGGTTATGAATCCATAATCCGATTCGACCTAAGAAAAGGAAAGAGGAAGTTATCTCCGGTTCCTTAGATGAAAGCTCCTTCGCCCTCATCCAGACACCCACTTTGAAAGCTCCTTCGCCCTCATCCAGACACCCACTTTGAAAGCTCCTTCGCCCTCATCCAGACACCCACTTTGAAAGCTCCTTCGCCCTCATCCAGACACCCACTTTGAAAGCTCCTTCGCCCTCATCCAGACACCCACTTTGAAAGCTCCTTCGCCCTCATCCAGACACCCACTTTGAAAACTCCTTCGCCCTCATCAAGACACCCACTTTGAAAGGGGGTAGTGGTGGGATTAACCACAATTTAACCCAGTGGTTAATTAACATTTAATATGATGGTGGGTGAGGGAGAAATTTGATATTAAGCAAATGTTACACTAATTATGATTACTAATGAATAAAAAATCCATTACCTTTTTTAATTAAATTCTCCAATATTCCTGATTTTTTTTTAAGAGAGACGATATCAAAAAGTCATATCTCCCTATTCCTTTCACTTTTTTTGTTTTTTTACGGTAACGAATTTGGGTATTCAGACCCAGTTCAACTTCCCTTTCCGTCGTATATCGAATTTCGTAGAATTTTGTCTATTTCTCGCGGAGGGTTAAACTGCTGTGTAGTGGACGACCACAAACACGAGCTGACAGACAGTGTTCAAACTGTGAGTGAAGTTTTTTCCACTAACACAGGGGATTATTAATGAAGATATGCATTGTTGTTGTTATTATTATTATTATTATTATTATTATTATTATTATTATTATTATTATTATTATTATTATTATTATTATTATTATTATTATTATTATTATTATTATTATCTTAACTATTTTTATTATTATTGTTGTTGTTTTTATTATTATTATTATTATTATTATTATTATTATTATTATTATTATTATTATTATTATTATTATTATTATTATTATTTGTAGTAGTAGTAGTAGTAGTAGTAGTAGTAGTAGGTAGTCGAAGTAGTAGTAGTACATTCATGGGGTTAGCGCCGGGGATACAAGAGGTAATCAGCTTCGAAGACCAGGTTCTCTTCCTCTGTACACAGTACATAAACACTCTTGAGAGAGGTGGAAGAATCTGTGGGATGGATCAGCGTAGAGAGGAAGGTCACGTTGACAGTAGTGGGGTCACGTTGACAGTAGTGGGGTCACGTTGACAGTAGTGGGGTCACGTTGAATGTAGTGGGGTCACGTTGACAGTAGTGGGGTCACGTTGACAGTAGTGGGGTCACGTTGAATGTAGTGGGGTCACGTTGAATGTAGTGGCGTCACGTTAAAAGCAGTATGGGTCGCGTTGAAAGCAGTGGGGTTATGTTGAAAGTAGTGGGGCTTAAGCTGAAAGCAGTGGGGGTCACTTTGAAAGCAGTGGTGGGTCACGTTGAAAGCCGTGGGGTCACGACTTCCAGGAAATCCTGCACATCAGCGCCAGATCCACATTTCACATTTCAACTGAATCTATGACCAGTTGACCGTCAGTGCGACTTTCCAATCCATCTATGTGACCCTTGTCTCCATACACTCATTCATTTATCAGTTCCTTCGTCCATCAAACCACCAGCCTGGCGAAACGTCTTCAAATTGAGATAGATGTTGCACAAGACACTTAGTCCTTTTCCTGTCTGTACTGTGTGCGGTTATCTTAAAAATTCATCCCAGTATCCCTCCATTCATCCCTCTATCCCTCCATTCATCCCTTTATCCCTCCAACCAGTATACCCCCACTCTACTCTTCCTTTTTTTAAATCCCCCCCCCCAAATCAACAACAAAATATCCTAAAATAAAAGTCAGTACCTGTTCAGCCGGGCTGTGGTTCATACGTCGGGTTGCGTACGACCAGCGGGGGCGTTGACCCCCATAACCATCTCGAGGTACACACAAATAACCCGCATATAGTAGAGAGAAGCTTATGACAACGTTTCGAGGTTTGTCAGGAACAAAATAAGTGTTTCCTGACGTGGGTCTTAGTCGTATGATGACCCGCAGCTGGAGCTTCTGGTCATCTGACCGAAGCTTTCCGCTGGCTTACCGGTCCACCCCTTTACAAATATGGAGAGGGAGCAAGTATATAAGCGAAGGAGACACTGACGGGATCACGAGAGGAAGAAGAAGAAGTGGTAAGGGCGGAAGCAGAAGCAGTAGTAGTAATAATAATAGCAGTAGTAGTAGTAATAGTAGTAGTAGAGGTAGCAGAAACTAGGGAGACTAGTTTTAGTGGCACAAAAGATAGAGAGGAGAATGAAGGGAGACAATAGAGTCTAAATTAAAAACTTCCTTATAATACTTTGTGTTAAGTAATTTTCGTCTTGAAATATTTCGTGTTGTCTTGAAGTATTTTGTGTTTTCTTGAGATATTTTTGTTTTCTTCAAATAGTATTTTCTTGAAGTATTTGTATTTTCTTGAAATATTTTGTATTTGCTTGAAATATCTGAATTTTCTTGAAATATTTTGTATTTTCTTAAAATATCTGCATTTTCTTGAAAAATTTTGTATTTTCTTGATGTATCTGTATTTTCTTGAAATATTTTATCTTTTCTTGAAGTACCTGAAGCTCATCTGTACAGTATTTTTTTTTTTTTTTTTTTTTTTTTTTTTTTTTTTTTTTTTTTTTTTTTTTTGTAAGCGAGATTAAAAAAGTTCTTCCGGAACTGAACATTGTTCGGAAAGGCTATCCTCCGGGTATAGCGCTTCCCCCTTGATTATAATAATAATAATAATAATAATGTTCGGAAAGGCTTCACAGCATTTGCTGTTAAATTTTGAGTGTACTCTTTCAGCCCCATTTACGTAAAAATTGGGCTATATAAAGGAGCTTCATGGGTGAGCTGACTGTATTTCCCTTCGTTTAATTAAGCTTGGAGGACGAGGGATATCGTAGAGCTCGGGATGATGGGGGGGGGGACGGAGCTCATTTTTGGTTGCTGTGGAATATAATTGCTTCGTTATTGGTTCATTTAGTTGGGTTAGGGGCAGGTGGAGCTTAAGGGGGTTGGGCTCACAACCCAAAGATCCGGCTTCAATATGGGGCGCGTTAAGGCTCCTTACGCATGCTGTATCTGTTCATCCAGCTTGACTTGTGAGGTCACACAGCTTGACTTGTGAGGTCACACAGTTTGACTTGTGAGGTCACACAGCTTTATCACTAATAAAATGCAAAGATTCATACATAAGAACATCAAACATAAACAACTGCAACAAAATTAAAAGGAAACAACTCGCAAGAACAAACACAAAACACATATAAAAACACCAAGCTAAAATAAAAAGAAAATATTACATTTTCACCCTTAAAACAATCTTCTAAAATATCCCCGAAGTCCCTACAGTCACCTCTGTAATTATAAAAGCAACAACTTCAGCTAAAAGTTGAAAATAAAAGGACAAGGGATTTAAAAATTTGCTTCACAGCAAGCTGCGCCCCACAAATAATTCAGAAAAAGACACGACAGACTTGCAAACAGATGGCTATGTGTGACTTACATTTGCCCGACCACCAGCCTGCAGATAACAGGCGACGCTTATTTCTGAATGACGGTAAGACACACACGTTCTATCGAACAGGAGAAAGTCAGGAAGACTTGCTGCTGTCTGTAGGTCCCACCAGACCAGCCGCTTTCCAGGAATAAATCTACATATGGAGTCCATGACGCTACTGTGGAACAGACGTCTAGTACACAGGCAGCTAGTATGAACAACATTCACCTCAGCCTCGCCTCTGTATATGCATTTCCCGGAATCCTGACAAGGAACAGGCAACAACAGGACTTCGACACCGCCCAGGCAACATCAGGACTCTGACATAGCCAAGGCAACAA